TTTTTAAAGTAGACAACCCAGGGTATTCAATATGGGGTATGTCCAGTCTTTTTTAGTAGCCACTTAGTCGAAAACACTGGCCAAAGTAAGCATTCATATTTGTTTGTGTGTGAAAAAAGTAAAAAAACTAAATTGAACGCTAATTTTGGCCAGTGTTTGTGACCAAGTGGTTACTAAAAAAAGACTGGACATACCCCATTTGCAATACCTTGGGTTGTCTTCTTTTGCAAATGGTATGCCATCATGGGGTAATTCTCATTCCTGGGCTACCATACGCTCTCAAAGGCAACGTAACCAACCAGGCCATTTTCAATGTAAAAATATTTGACCCATATATTTGACCTTGTAACTTTAAAAAATGCTATAAAACCTGTACATGGGGGGTACTGTTTTACTCGGGAGACATCGCTGAACACAAATATTAGTGTTTAAAAACTGGAAAACATATCACAACAATTATATCATCAGTAAAAGTGCTGTTTGTGTGTGAAAAATGCAAAAAAGTAACTTTCACTGACAATATCATCGCTGTGATATGTTTTACTGTTTTGAATCACTAATATTTGTGTTCAGCGAAGTCTCCCGAGTAAAACAGTACCCCCCATGTACAGGTTTTAGGGTGTTGTAGAACGTTACAGGGTAAAATACAATGCTAGCAAATTAAATTCTCTGGAATTTCGGCCTGGGTTGGCAGGCAGGTCCCTCAAATTACAATCAATAAAATTACTGAATTATGTAAACATATTACATAAATACGCACTTAGAATTTAAATATATATGCATATTTATATAGTTTAAGTCTACGTGTATATTTATATAATTATGTAATTTTGTATATGGACATATGTATATTTCGTATTATTTTTATTTATTTATATATACATAGATATATATACAAATTCATTCTAAGTGTATTTTGATATAAATATATATATATATATTAATTTTAAAATACAGTTAGAATAACATTTCATATAGATATAATTTTTTTTTAAATTTTTATTATTATTTAAAAAAAAATTATTTAATTACTTATTATTTATATTTTATAATAATATATATATACAATATATATAGTTATTATATATATTATATATATACGTGTGTAATTAAATTATAAGTGTATTTTTATATTAATATAAGTACATATTAATATAAAAATACACTTAGTATGGCATTATATATATGATATATCTATATATCATATATACACCTATATAATTATTGTTATTTTTTTTATTAACATTAACTTTATTTATTTTATTTTATTTTACACATACAGGGAGACTGCCTGTCAGCACAGACAGTCCCCCTGCAGGAAGACACATGGACACCTATTGTGACCATGTGATCGCTGTGTTAAGCGATCACATGGCCACGGGGGTCCTAATTCAGTGTGGGGAGACTGTCTGGGCTGCAGGCAGTCTCCCCACAACCGGAGCCACGCTGATCGCCGCCGGGGGAACGACGGCGATCAGGTAAGTAACGGAAACCGTTAGGATGGTTCAGGACCGTCATCGGTCTGCAAGGCAAAAATGCCGATGACGGTCCTGAACCGTCCTCGGTCGGGAAGGGGTTAATAATCCTGGGCTCATGCCCCTATCTAGCCCTTTGACCACTTCAGACCTAAACTCCCACCCGTTCTAATTCTAATTATATTTTTACTTACAATAATTAAAAAAACACACACACATCTACATATGTTTTAATTTTACCCGACCCCACAGCACCCCAAACACCACACTGCACCCCCCCACACACACTACAACCCAAACGTCACACTGCACACTAAACATCACACAGCACCTCAAACACACAATGCACCCCTCACACATACAAACACACACTGCACCCCAAACACCACACAGTACTCCAAACACACAATGCACTTCCCTCACACACACACTGCACCCCAAACACACAGTGCATCCTTCACACACACAACAGCCTTAAACACACAGTGCTTCCTTCACACACACACACACACACCACAAACACCACACAGCACCCTTCACACACAGTGCGCCCTTCACACACACACACTGCACCCCTCACACTTACACACACTGCACCCTTCATACACAGTGCACCTTTCACACACACAGTGCAACCCTTCACACACACAGTGCACTGCAAACACCACACTGCACCTTTCGCACACTGCGCCCTTCACACACACACCCTCCACCCCTCACACACCCTGCAACCCTAAAACACAGGGCACCCTTCACACACACACACAGTGCACCCTTCACACCCAGGGCATCCCTTACACACACTGCACCCCTACACACATTACATTCCAGAAAAACACACTACATCCCTTATACACACAAGCTAGCTCCCATACATAACTATGGATCCTCTACATACACACACTAGAATCCTTATACACACTCTGAATCCCCTAAACACACACACACTGTACACACAAACTAAATATCCTACGCACACTCTGGGTCCTCCACACATACTAGATCCCCTACGCACACAATAGATCCCCTATAGGAATACATTGCACCACCTACACACACTACATTAATGACATACACACTCTGGATCCCCTATGAACACACTAGATCCCCTGTAAGCAAACACACACTACTTTCCCTAAACACAGACACTGGACAACCCCTACACACACTACATAATCTATACACACATACACTACAGCCCCTATGCACACATTCGCTACATCCCCTATACTCACACTCTCTCTTTCTCTACAGTCCCTAGCTATACACATTACACCACAAACACAACACAACTGAAACCAAAATTTACACAAAACACAACACCACAATCAACTAACTCTACACACGCACACAATCCCACAATCAGGCCCCAAACACATGTACAATATGCTTTCCTTACACTTTTGTCCCTTGGTATCCCATTTATGCAGACACCAGAGACATGTCACAAGCAAACACAGCACAAGCATGTTACTCAATTTGCTTGCTCTGCGTAAAACAATAACAAGTCCTTTTTTTTCATGTGAGAGCTATTCAGCAGGGCTCTGCGCATTGAACCAACATGCTAACTTTGAGAGGGGGCATGCTTGTCATTGGTGATGGCAAAACGCACACCCCCTCTCGGCCCGCCCCGTTCTCGGTGGGCTGCTGTGATTCATAAATGACCGAGCCGAATTTTTTTACCAGTCCGTGACTGGAAATCATATAGCATGGACATTTAACCCCTTAAAACCGGAGGACGTACTATTACGCCCTATTCTAAGTGTCTCTAAATGCTGCAGGGCGTAATAGATCCCACGCCAGCGATCGCGGTTGGGGAGACTCACCTGGGATCCTGTCCCTTCCGGCCTGCCATGTGAGAGTGAGGTCCTTGTGAGGACCTCACAATCACATGGCTGGGTTAGCTGGCTGCTTCATTGCCAGCAGGGGGACTGCCTGTAATAACAGTTATTCCCCCTGCTGGCTGAATTCAAATAAAATAAAGTTAAAATAAGTGTAAAAAAAAAAACATATATACTTAGATCATATATATCATATATATATGATCCAAGTATATATATATACACATATACATACACACACACACATACACTGTCTAGGTGTATTTTACTATTAATATATATATATAATTATATATATATATATATATATATATATATATATATTAATATCAAATTACACGTAGACTGATACTGATTAAATATATATATATATATATATATATATAAAATTATTTTTATATATATATTTATATATAATATAAAAAAATATGTAAATACGTTAAAAAATTGAAATGAAAAATAATAAAAAAATAAATAATTAAAAAATATATAGATGTGTGTTATTTCGTTCTAACTGTATTGTGATATTAATATATATATATATATATTTATATCAAAATACACGTAGAACAAAATAATATATATATATATATATATATATAAATATATATGTATATATCACTAATATAAATATTACAAATACAAATATTTTTTAAAAATTATATATATATATATATATATATATACACAGATATATACACATACACATACATATATATATATATAATTGAATTTCTTCTCGAATGTTTGGAATTCACTTTGATTAACAATTACTTCCGGTTTGAGAAATTCTTCTATCTCCAACAAACAGGCACGGCGATGGGATCGGCGATAGCTCCTAATTATGCGAACAGCTATATGTTTTCGTATGAACAACAACATATTCTATCAAAATACCAGGCCAATCTCATATTATACTGTAGATATGTGGATGATATCCTCATGATATGGTCAGGTCCTGTCTCATCTTTCGACACCATGATGGACGATCTTAATCAGATTAATTCACCTGTCCGTTTTAGCCATTGCTGTGATGCTAACAAGATTGAATTCCTTGATGTTTTAATATATCGGATGCACAACTCAATTGGCTATACTTTATACAGAAAGACTTCTGATCGTAACACTTTATTACATGCCACCAGTTTCCACCCAGGTGCTCTTAAGAGATCACTTCCTATCTCACAATTTCTTCGTGTACTGAGAAACAACTCAGACCCAGATAATACCAAGGCACAGATTTTGGTGATGCAACGAGCCTTTCAAGATCGAGGGTACTCGAATTATACTCTTAAGCGATCGCTGGACAGAGCCTATGATATTTACAATAAATCTTGTACTACAACAACTATGCTGTCTCAGCAACCCACGAGAATCACAGTACCATTGCTGTATCATACAGCAAGTGACCAAATTGCAAAGGTTATCCGTAAAAGATGGGACTTACTGGCTTCTGACCCTACATTATTACCCATTTTCTCTCATCCTCCTCGGATTTCGTTTAGACGGAATCGTAATTTAAGGGATATGCTGGTTAAAAACGATTGCCCTATTCAATATACAACAGAAAAAGCTCACACAAAATTGGGTTGCTTTAAGTGCCCCAATTGTGTCACGTGTGGACATATGCTCACTGGTCCCTCGTTTGCTCATCCACATTCAGGGAAACGTTACCTGATTAAACACCATATCACGTGCCTCACCACTTATGTGATCTATTTAATATCTTGTCCTTGCGGACTTTACTATGTGGGAAAGACTGATCTCACATTGCGGGACAGAATGCGTGGCCACCGATCGGGGATTATGACCGCCTTTAGGGATGGCAGAACCGATAAACCGGTGGCCAAACACTTCTTAGAGGCGAATCATCGACTTCCCACCCTTAAATTTATTGCTATTGATCACATTCCCCCTCTTAGCCGAGGGGGGGACCGATCTAAGATTCTACTTCAGCGGGAGGTTTACTGGATTAAAACACTGGACACTTTATATCCCAAGGGCCTGAATGAATATTTGTCTTTCCATCCATTTCTAGATACACGTTAACCTGTTTTGCTGTGTAATTTCTGATTTTGTTTCTTATTATCTTTTCGGTCTTATCTTCAATATTGGTATCGTCTACTCTTGTCATTTCTCTGCATAAGGGATTTTCTGCGTTTATTAGTAGTTCCATGGTGTACTTATTACTTATACTTTATATTGATACACAATGCTTGCGATTACTCCAACATATGTATTTACTGCTGGTCCTTATTTTCTTTGTTCACTCCACTTGGTTTATTTTTTCCTTGCTCACTTTGTTTCACGTTCTCACTATTGTGTTACATAGTGGCTGTGGTCCACTTTTCCAGTTACCACGGTAGTTTTTCGTTTTTTCTTTATTTTTATTTTTATTTTCTCTCTTTTTATTTTCTATTTATTTTTTCTTTCTTCTTCTTTCTTTTTTCTTTTCATTTTCCTGTCGTCTCTTTTCTCTCTTTCCTTTTTTTCTCTTTCCTTTTTCTCTATCTCTTTTTTCTTCGTTTATCACTTTCTTATGGTTTGTTTTTTCTACTCATTATTTTCTCTCTATCACTTTCCATATGTTTACATTCTTTGGACCTTATATATTTTTATTTTATATACTTCTGTTTTAAGTTACCCCATGGCTATCATTTTCTCTATTTTCTTACTTGCATAGATCTTCCCTATCTTGTTTATTTTACTGTTCCACACTATACACGATCACTTACCTGTTTCTATGGAAACCGGACGCTTTCGGCTTTCCTCTTCCTGGTCGCATGTGGTTGACGTCATCACTCCGTTACGGAACTCACACGCTTTCTTCCATCTACCCACAGCTTGTACACATGGCTCCGTAGCTGCACACCTATCTCAGGGTAAGTGATTACCCCCTAATTATTTATTGTTATAAATGGCATCACTTCACTATGTTATGTATCTTGATAAAGACCTGCGGGTCGAAACGTCGATTTTTTCTGCACTTTGATAAAATTTTAACAAGCCCTCTGGAGTGCTCTCTTTGCTACTATTTGTCTATATATATATATATATATATATATACACATATATTAATTCTACATATATATTTATGTAATATTTTAACATAATTAGGTATTTTAATTAATTACAATTAGCGGGACCTGCCTGACAACCCATGCCAAAAGTATAGGGAATTTAATTTGCTAGCACTATATTTAACCCTATAACTTTCCAAGACACCATAAAACCTGTACATGGGGGGTACTGTTTTACTCAGGAGACTTCGCTGAACACAAATTCTAGTGTTTCAAAACAGTAAAATGTATTACAATGATGATATCGCCAGTAAAAGTGACATTTTATGAATTTTTCACACACAAACAGCACTTACACGGACGATATTATTGCTGTGATACTTTTTACTGTTTTGAAGCACAAATATTTGTGTTCAGCGAAGTCTCCCGAGTACAACAGTACCCCTCATGTACAGGTTTTATTGTGTTTTCAAAAGTTACAGCGTCAAATATAAGGCTTGTGTTTCATTTTTTTCACATTAAAATTCGCTAGATTGGTTACGTTGCCTTTGAGACCCTATGGAAGCCCAAGAATGAAAATTATCCCTATGATGGCCTACCATTTGCAATAGTAGACAACCCATTTATTGCAAATGGGGTATGTCCAGTCTTTTTTGGTAGCCACTTAGTCACAAACACTGACCAAAATTGGCGTTTTTTGCATTTTTCACACACAAACAAACATTAAAGCTAACTTTGTCCAATGTTTGTGACCAAATGGCTACTAAAAAAGACTGGACATACCCCATTTGCAATACCTTGGGTTGTCTACTATTACAAATGGTATGCCTGGGCTACTATACAGTCTCAAACGCAACGTAACCAATCTGGCGAATTTCAATTTCAAATGTAACGTTCAATATTTGACCCTGTAATGTCCCAAAACACGATAAAACCTGTACATAGGGGGTACTGTTTTACACGTGAGACTCTGCTGAATACAAATATGTGTATTTTATTGCAGTAAAAGCGAACAGTATTATGACATTGACTCATGCTCAACCTTCATGCGGAAGAATGTAAATTGTCTGCCAGTGCCATTGTCTTGCCATCAATTTTCACAAGATTCCTCATGCCTTTAGAGCTCACACACAATCAAAACATCAGTGAGCCACCATCATGCTTCACAGTATTCTTTTCACTATAGCCCTTGTTGACCCCTCTCCAAACATAGCTCTCGTGGTTGTGACCCTACAGCGTGCCAGAAGCTGTGAGGTTTGTCAAGGTGTTGTTGGGCATATTGTAACCAGGCTTTTTTGTGGCATTAGCGCAGTAAAGGCTCCTTTCTGGCAACTCATTTTTGATCAAGTATTGTTGTATTGTACTCCTTGAAACAACCACAATGTCTTTTTCCAGAGCAGTTTGTATTTCTCCTGAGGTTACCTGTGGGTTTTTCTTTGTATCCTGAACAATTCTTCTACCATTTGTGGCTGAAATCTTTCTTGCTCCACCTGAACTTCTCTTAATCCCCACATTTTCCACCACTTAATAAATGATTGAACAGTACTGACTGGCATTTTCAAGGCTTTGGATATATTTTTATTTCCTTTTCCATCTTTATAAAGTTCCATTACCTTGTTACGCAGATCTTTTGACAGTTTTTTTCTGCTCCCCAATCTAACAAACTCATTGACTATTTATACACAGACACTAATTGCAATTTAAAAAGCCACAGGTGTGGAAAATCAACCTTTAATTGCCATTTTAACCTGTATGTGTTACCTTGTGTGTCTGTAACAAGGCCAAACATTCAAATGGTATGTAAACTTTTGATCAGGGCCATTTGGGGGATTTCTGTTATCATTATGATTTCAAAAAGAGCATTACAACTATGTGAAAATAAATGGCTTTATATGATCACTATCCTTCAATAAAATACATTGTTTTACATGACCAGTGATATTTTCAAACTCAATGCCAAAATGTCACAATTTCTGCCAGGGTATGTACACTTTTGAGCACAACTGTTTAAAGTGACAATCAAGTGATGGTGACCCAATGTGCCTCTGTAGAAAGAGTAAGGTGCTCTGCAATGCCAAAATGAAATCCAACAGGATTTAAGAATAAAAAAAAAAATAAAAGTTATAAATTCTTAAATAAAAACAGATAGTATTCAGATTGTTATAGTAACAGATTGTATTCACAATTTAGGCCTTTTGTAATCAGGGAATCCATTTCCTGGATTCACAATTTAATTATTTTTTTTAACCCTGTCACCACTTTCTTCTCATTTCTGGAATGTATTCAATTATTCCAAATTTGAGTTGGGAGATATTATGTTTATATTCCTTAAAATTAGCTGTTATTGGCAAGCCTGCTAATTCAGTAAGAATAGTGGACTTATGTCTAATCTTTTTTTTTTGTGTGTGGTTTCCCTCATACACATCTTAGATATATATCTTGACATTGAAGGAGGTATAGTACGAATTAAGTATTGCAAGGGACAAAATCTTGAATTTTGTATCTCTTGCCATTATACGGTTTATGAAAAACATCCCCACATATTATGGCATTACTAGCAAGGCAATTCAAAAAGGGAAAATTCCTTTTTTTAGAAGGATCAATACATTTTATAAAATTAGTTTTCTTTGGAATATGAAGATCTGCATTTACCAAACTATCATGTGATGGGCTCTTTTTGCATACGGACATAGGGGAAGAAGTAAAAAGAAGTAAGATGTTTGAATTTCACTGAGGTAATCTCTGCCAATGTTTCCGCAAAATAGTCTGCATTTTTGGTGTAATGGTATTGTAATTAGAGATTAACTTAATCCTGTTTTGAGTTTCCTTGTTTGATTTTATTTTTCGTGTTAACAATGCACAGCATATTCAAGGTGTGCTCTTACCAGCGATTTATAAAGAGGCAAAATTATATTTTTATCCCGATTATTTATACCCCTATTTTTACATGACAAAACCTTACTGGCATTAGCAACCGCAGATTGACATTGCATATTGCTGTCTAATTTGTTGTCTGTAACAATTACCAAATCCTTCTTGTGTGTGGTTACCCCTAATTCACTAACATTTAGGGTGTAAGTTGTGTGTGCATTCTTGAACCCGAAGTGCATAACTTTGCATTTCTCTACATTAAATTGAATCTGCCATTTTAGTGCCCAGTCCCCCAATCTAATCTAAATTCCTCTGCAGCAAAGCAATATCCTGCTCACATTTTATTACTTTACAAAGATTCTTGTCACCTGCAAACACTAAAACATGGCTTTCAATGCCTATTTCAAGATCATTTATAAATATGTTAAATAGAAGCGGTCCCAAAACAGAACCCTGAGGGACACCACTTACCACTTTTGTCCAGATTGAAAATGTACCATTAATGACAACTCGTACTCTATCCTTAAGCCAATGTTCTACCCAAGAATATTTAGCTAGACCAATTTCTTTTAGTTTGAAGACTAACCTATTTAAATGCCTTGGCAAAATCCAAGTAGATCACATCCACTGCAACACCCTGATCTATACTTCTACTTACTTCTTCTTAATATGCAATTAGGTTAGATTGACATGACCTATTTTTTATGAAACCATGCTGATTATTGCTAATACATTTATTCCAAATGAATTCCTGAATATTATCCCTTAATAGTACTTCAAATATTTTCCCAGTCACAGTTAAGTTAAGCTCATGGGTCTATAATTTCCAGGCAAGGATTTTGAACCCTTTTTAAATATAGGAACAACATCTGCCTTCCTCCAATCCTCCGGTACAATACTTGAAGCAAAAGCATCTTGAAAGATTAAATACAGAGGTTCACTTATTTCCCCACTTCGCTCCTTAAGTACTCATGGGTGAATACGGTCAGGCCCCGGAGCTTTATTTACATTCATTTTCTTCAGTTTTTTTGCAGCAATCATTTGCATATCTCTTACCATAGGATCCTCATTAATATATACTGAAGAAATATTTTTGGTGTTAGTTTTGCATTCTTTGGCTATCAATTTCTCATTTTCTAGTTTACCCACTTTAATTGCTTTTTTGCAAGCATTATTGGCTTCCTTATATCTTATATAGGATGCCTCTGATTTGTCCAATTTAAATGGTTTAAATGCTTTAAATGCCCTTTTCTTATTCGTAATCTCTTGTTTTACTTCTCTATTA